TTCAAGAAATTCTAGAAAATCAGTGAGCTGCCTGAATTAATTGCAACTTTGGGCACTTTCCCCTTCGGCTTTCGTCTACTAATATCGAAAGATTCAGCCTTTCACTTACAATCGTTTCTGAGTTATGGATTTTTAAACCAAGGCCTAAACTTATTATGTCGTAACGTTGATTTAACCAACTGTTTTAGAAATTCTAGAAAACCCTAATTAAATTACGAATTTGTGCATTTGCCACTCATAGTTTCAGCTCCTCATATTTAAAACGTCAGCCCTTCGGTTGCCCTAGTTTAGACGCGATGAATTTTTGAACAAAGTTGGCTGCATAATTTGAGGAAATTTTCAGCAATTTTTCTTGAAAATCTGGGGAAGAAATCGCGAAATTTTCAAATTGCACCGAATAAATTAGTTGAGTTTTTGTAATAGCATTTGCTGGTTTTTTCGCTAAATATGCATATTGTCATTTTATCTGATTTATCTCGAGCTCATAGTTTTTAATCAGCTCGAACCGAGCTGACACGGGGGCCAGGAGCGAAAGCGGCACAGTTGTATAAATTAGGTCAGACAGGCATACATAAAGCAGCCAACTATTATTAATTGTAGGTGAGATAAAGGCCATAATTTTCGCATTTAGAGGCCCCATTTCTGTTCTTTCCCATCCACATTCCTCCGCAATAAAAAGAGAACTGTTGAGATGAACTGGGGAGCATGCGGCCAAAGCTACCGAAGATCTGGATCTTGTTGAGATTTAAAGAGAAAATGCTGCTAATTAGTTTTTCCTGATTAAAATCTAGTGGTTTTCGTTCTTTTCCAAAACCGTTTTTTTACATCATTTTTGGGCACAAAGTTTCATGCTTTCTTGACCAATATTTTATCGACTTCTTGAAAATTGATGATGATGATGAGCTCATAAGTTCCAAAGAAATATCGATAATCTGCCGTTTCTTGTACAGGAAGAATACCATCAGCAAAATAATACTTTTCAAAAACCCGAATTAATTTTAAAACCTGCCGCATTCGAGCGTATATTTGAGGAAATTTCATCTGCCTGCAAAAGCACAGAGGAGTGATTATATGCAATTTTTAGCAGCTCTTCTTGCTTGTTCAGAGCGCTCCAGTCCGTACACATTAAAATTGTATGGTCCAGTTATGCGTCCCGAAAAGGTAATATTCTAAATTGCCATTTGCTTCTGCGTTTTGTGAAACTTTGCATATTTTCCCCACCGAAATCCTTCTAGCGATGTCCAGAATTTTTCGAGTTGATTCAACACTGATTAATCAAAAGACTGCCTTGGCAAACCTTTCGGACCAAAAAATACTCATGCCATTAAATTATCAAATTGAAAATCTACGAGCAGACGACGAATGTTCAGTGGAAATAATTGTTCTTGCTGGAATGCAGTAGCAAGATAGAGAAAAATATGGGCCGTAATGGGAGAAAAAATTAACCAATAATGCCACTAAATGCTTCTTGATCGAATAGTATCCGATGCTCAGATTCCGATGTGATTTATTGCCGATTGGAGTGGCTAAAGTTGCAAATACGGCTTCCAGTAATTAATCTGAATGCACCACATAAACTTATTAGAGATGGCTAATTCCGTATACGCTGCACATGCTGAGCGAATTAGTTCACACAGCTGAATATCGAGTGGAAGATTAATTGCCACATGAATTAATCGATTTTCCATCTTTGATCATGCAGATTTTCGGGGGTTTTCACCAGCAATCGATTCGACTTAAATGAAAGAAAACTGAAAACCCATGCGAATGTTTCCGTTGCATATAATATGAGCAGAATTGCTAATGTTTAATTAATTCAATTACGCAACTAATTAGCATGCAGGGCCGTTACGGCTCAGTCCAGATCCGTGCAGGTTGCAGGTGCAGAAAAACATTAGGCAATTAAATAATGCATAATTCCAATTGTAACAGGATTTTCAAAAAACAATCAAACTCTACCGTTAGCTCGTATTAACATTAATTTTTCCATGTGCTGAAATCGTTTGAAAGTGCAAATAAAGCATGCATATAAAATTCAATTAACTATTTGGGTATTTAAGTTGCATTTTTTGTCTCACTGAGTTTACCAAAGTTTTTATATTAAAAAAAAACCGTCTAAACGGCGACAAGACAGTTTATATCAGTCGAAATCAAAATATCGAGCGATGCGGGCCGGATAGTTTCGGTTCTTTGCCTAAAAGTGTCTTTTTATGAATTATTTACGTCCACTCTGTTCAGTGAAATAGAATGCTGAAGCGTCGGAATAGACGATTTTATTTACAGGTAAAAATGTACTTTTCACATTTCCAAGCATCGTTTCAACATAAGAAAAACCGGGCTCAAACTCGACTAATTTTAAGCTAAATCGCCTTAGACAATAGTCATTCATTCACTCACTGTATCTAGCTCTGTAAACACAAAAAAAAGTGAAACAGTTAAGTAAATAGCGTCTAATTGTGTCCGAAACCTCAATAAATGTTGAATAAGAATGCTAAAAATGCTCGATTTAATGCACTGTTACTACTAATGACAAAAATCTACATATAATCGGATCAGGTTTTTGTTTAATTAACAGCTGCAAATAGTTTAAATATCTATACATCATTTAATAAAACGTGCAGCCCCATAAACTAACGGTCACAATTACATGCTTTAATTAGCGCTTTAATTAACTGTAACACTTTTTCTTGTGTACAACAGAGCTAAATAGTCGGTATTGACATTATCAGTGCAGAAGACCTTGGGCTTATTACAAGAATCTCAATATTTAGACTTCGCTGCGGCTTTTACGACTAGGAAAAGCGCATTGGTTAAATATACCGAGTTTAATGGAGGTTGTCGCACAAAAAAACATTAAATTCTGCCAATTTACAGGTCTATGAAAGCATGTTTATGTGTGTCTGAACACGGATGAGAGGAAAGTTTTGAAAATTTCTCAAAATTCTCTAAACCAATTTAGAAACTCCCAATTTGCAGGAATGAACAAACCATATTCAAACTATGCTGAGACAAACAATCAGGGTTCAATCTATCGCAGT